GAGCCTTTTTAACACACACAGAGCAACACGAGTACTGTGCCATTATTTCAATGTCAAACAGGCATAAACTGGCAAAAGGCTGAGCTGCCAGAGAACAAAACATTTCAATTTAAATGTATTCGGGAAAGAGGGAAAATGCCTCTGCCTCAGTGACAAAGCAGAAAGTATCACAGTACGGGTGTCAGAGTAACAACATTGTACAGCAACAGAAGAGTGTTATTTCATGAACTAACACAAGGTTTCTATAGAAAGTATTTACTATTGAATGCATTTATAACCACCTGTGAAGCGAGCACATCACTGCTCCATAAACCTATGGCACAGAGAAGTAGTGTTGTAGTATTCGAGACCAGTCGTTGTTCCCGTTAAAGACTGTCCCCCCTCCCCGCGACGTTTACGTTGATTTCAGCTCTTAGTGTTTGTATGTGGGTGTTTTAATGGGAAAGTGGATCTTTCAGATCACTTTGAGAAGTACCTATGATCTCGTTCCACATTTTATTGCGTGCCATGCAATGCAGGGAACTGGTCTTGGTCTTGACTCAGTCTCGCTCTTCCTCGGTCTTGGTCTCGACTGCTCTCAGCCCCTAAAAGTCTTGGTCTTGTCTCGGTCTCGATAAACTCTGGTCTTGGTCTTGACTTGGTCTCGGTTTGGGCGGTCTTTACTACAACACTACGGAGAAGGATGGACATAATGCCTTTTATTTTATTCTATTTTATATTTATCTTAAACGTGTATTTTGGTCTTTTCAATGTTTTCTTGCTTGTATTGTTGTCTTTTGGGTATTGTATCTTTGCACTTTCACTTTTGTCTTTGCACTTGTTGAAGCACTTTGTAACTTGTTTTTGAAAAATGCTCTACAAATAAAGATTATTATTATTATTATTAATATGGTATTGTTTTTAGGGCCAGATTCAAGATAAAGATATGTTTCTTTGTTTTATCCCAGTAAATACACTTTGGTCCAGTGTATTTTTTGGCAAGGGATGTTTTCCATTTTATTGCTGCACTGTTTCCCATTATTAAAGATAAATGCCACTGCCAAATATGTATCAGTAACTTGAGGCTATTTGTATGGGTCTTATCTCAGCATAAGATATGAAATGAAGAGTAAACTGTTTTTGCTTTCTGGTGTGGTCTGAGTGTATCACTGTTCATTTTCTTTTCTTTTTCTTAACAGCTCATATTTCTACTTCAGTGTTTCCACATTGTTTCAACACCCCCTACCTCAGGGTTTTTACCACAGTGAAAGAACATCTGCTACTGTACTTGCTCTTGCGACTTGTTTTCATGACATGCTGCACCCACACTCCTTGTAACTCATTTGCCCTCCTACCAGCTAGCCAGTACCTCATTATATTTGAGGGTGGTGCACTTCACACCCTCTGTTTATATTCATCATCATCTTCTGTCACAGTGGGGTCACTCATTGGTTACCCTGGCCTGTAACCCAGTGTTTTACAACACTACACATTGATAGAACAGAACAGATTTAAGCATGCAGATACAAAGACATAAGAAGAATGGTTAATACACACACATACAATGGTGGAACATTCAACGATCAAAAATGCAGACATGGGTAGACTCTATAAAGTTCTATATTTATGCATTGTGTCACTTTAATAGCTGTGGCCACTGTAGCCACAAATGTTCACTACTTTTGTATATAGATGGTGATAAGCAGTACCGTATGTAGCAGATATTTAAACATTTAATGTATGTGACTGGCAAACAATGTTTACTACTTTTTAAAGAGCACAGGTTTATAGCTAATTTACACATACAGTAAAAACAACTACTTTAGGGTTAATTACAAACCCAAAGTACATACTCCACCACTCTCTTCCCTGTCTCTGCCAAGCTACTTGGCAGAGACAGGGAGGAGAGTGGACATCCTTCTTCACAGCACTTGTACTAGAAGACCAGGGGTCTCTGGCTGTACTGATTCCAGTAACATCCTAGTTAATGCACACAGTATGAATGTAAACATCGGAAGTGTCCTGCAGCAGTGAGACATTCCCCCAGCAGAGCAAAGGTGCTTCACACACTAAGCGATGGGGGCACAGAGACAGAGGAAAGATGCCACACTGAAGTCCGGGGACAGACTATGATTCTTACTGCTGAATCATTAATAGCTGCAAGCATGTAGGCCTGGTTCTGACTGTGAAAGTATTTGGCATCTTTGTCTTATTATATTATTATCATATTTAGCCATTTTGCTACAATTACGCTTCACACAACAGCTGCGGCTGCGACCTGACCTTTCTTTATCCTGTGAGAGGGAATTTAGAAAGTTGTGTGGCGCTGCAGGGAACCCCCCGCTGCAGTAGTGCATGGATCATGCGTAATATTCATCCAGCCAGAGGGAACAATCACGAACTGTTCACAGCGCATCGGTCATACTAGCGACCAGAGTACCAGAGAGGGTGTGGGGCAGTGGACAACAGGGCCAGAGACAGGAGATCGCGAAGTGACTGTCCCGCTGCGAACTGTCGGTGATCGGTCCCTCTGGCTGGATGAAGTATGACGCTCTTGATTTTATGCATGGATCCATGATGATAGAGAAATATATAGATTAATGGCAATAAAGCATGCTGTCAATATTTTAGAGACCCCCTCCCCAAATATCACAAATCATGCTTTTAGGAGAGCTGATTTCGCCCCCTGACTCCATCGTTGTTGACAGACTACAGTTCCGACTTTTGGTTTATGTTGTTCCCTAGCTTCTTTGCGGCTGACTGTTAACCGTTTGTGTACCAAATACGTTGACTATATAGTGAGAATTATATTTGATATTTTGATAAAAAATTATTGCGAGGGACAAGTCAGTATTGGATATTGATAGCGAAATGTCCAAACCTAATTCTACATCCTTGGTATGTAACCATATATCTGAAGGTACCAAGGTTAGTGAACAGATGCTGGTCACTGTCCCCTCTAGACAAATAGATTACAGTGTTCACTCCAAGAGATTGAAAACTATTAAGAGGTGATGAGAGTGAAACTACCTCAGAGTCAGCACCTTCCAGTATCCCTCATGTTTTTCCAATGCTCTCTAACCCATAAACCTTTATCACCCTTCCAAACTCAACACTTCCTTACATATCTATATGCACACTACATCCTCAACCCATTACCCCGCATTTATCCTTCCACGTTCCCTCACACTTTCTCATGCATCCTTAACCAGGCTGTGCCCCATCCTCCCCTCCCTCTCTGGATGGGAAGCCAGCTTGGCAGTGTTAAAGCCAGGTCCTCAGACAGGTCATTTGACTCCCAGTTGTCGATGGAGTATGTTATTTCCAGAGCACCTGCTACACCCTCTCTCCAACGTGAATCTAAAACGCGCAGCACTTATTCACTTTAATGGTACAAAACAGGAAGACGATGCTGTTCTTTTCAGCACAAAGGGACAGTTTATCTCTAGCAATGGCTAATGGTGGAGGGAGAGAAAAGCCAATGGAAGAATAACTGAGCTTTTGATGTCAATGTAAGGATTTTTCAAAAAACTCACTCTACACATCACCGTGTTTAGCTGTCTGCTTTGCCATCATACACAAATGCTGCTGGTCTGCTATCACTGTCAACTTAAAGGGTGTGTCTTCAGTCATTGCTGATGGTTTTAAAAACCTGAAGCCTATGGTTTGAACCGTTAGCTTGTTAAACTCTAGTAGTTTAGCTATGAACCTGTACAAAGGGGACTACAGAAAAAAGTGATTGGTAATTAGGAGTAATCAACAGGCGGGAGGACAAATACACAGTATGTACAGTAATTGTGTGCAAAGAATTGTGTGTGAGAGAAAGACACAGAAACGCATAGATCAGCAGAGCCTTTTGGTTTTTTTGTGCTCATGCATGTGGTTTTGTTCTCGTTTAGCGCTCACCATTATTTGGGCCTATTTTCATCACAGCCACTGACAATCCCATAATAACAGTGCTGCAGCAGCCCACAGCACTCGCATTCTGGAGGAGGTAAATCAACTACAAAACAGATGCAGTGTATGTGTTTGAGCGTGAGGTGGTGAGTGTGTGAGGAAGTGAACATGGCAGATTTAACAGGCTGGCGAGCAACAAAGGGCTGCTCCCTTTCTTGTTCCCTAGTCAGCTCGGATTCATGCTTGTGCCTCCAGCTCCTAGCTAGTACTGCTTGATAGATAGATAGATAGATAGATAGATAGATAGATAGATAGATAGATAGATAGATAGATAGATAGATAGATAGATAGATAGATAGATAGATAGATAGATAGATAGATAGATAGATAGATAGATGGATAGATAGATGGATGAATAGGAGCTCATTTGTGTGTACTAGAAAACAAAATGGATTGGATAGCATAGTTGAGAGTTTGGACTGACAGGCTTCTGACTGAGCAAATGTTGGAGATCTGTGTTGACAGCATTTATGGATATGTTGGGTGCGCCGTTCAAAACTGCGATAACGAGTCAGATGGGCTCAATGTAAACAAAACAGGCAACATAATTTTGCAGTTCATTCTCTTGTTATCTCTAGAAGAGACTGTGCAGACAAACACAAATTCATACCACAAAAGCTGGGAAAGATGAAGGGAAAAGCAAAAACATCACGGCGCACAAAATAATAGCCTGCCCTGGACGTAATTCACAGCTGACAGGGCAGACAGTGACAGCATAATGACTACTGCTGCTAATTCAGGTACTGCGCTGCACTCCAACAACAATGCAGCAATTTCATTAGCCGGGCACATTCTGCCAGAAGGATATTGAGTTGTGATGCCAGAAAAATCTGTGACAGTGAAAAATTGGAAGTGGAGTCTTGTTTTGATGGTAGCCTAAGTGGATAAAATGAAGCGACAAATGTACAATAACAAATGCAACAAGCAGGCTTGTGAAAATCAGATGTCATTTTAGATAATAATCTGCGGCAGGGTTGGTATATCCACACAGGAGGACAGACCGCAGTTTAATCTATCCTCTCTGCCATCCTTAACACAATCACTCCATCTCCCTCTTTTCCCAGGTTGGAATAAAAGAGTGGACTATGAGCCAGGAACAGGAAGTAAGCAGCTGTTTCCTAAGATGCACCTGGAGACCTGTGGTGGGCCACTGTCATCGGTGAGGACCACAGTGGAGCTGCAGACCAGCCACATCGGGAAAGGCTGCGACCGTGAGACCTACTCCGAGAAATCTCTACAGAAACTCTGTGGTTGGTTCCATTGTGTTTTGAGTCTCTCATTCGCACTGGTCTGACCAAAATGACAAGCAACTTAGATTGAGTGTGCATTTCTGGCATGTAGCAGAAAATCACATGAGTGTTGGACCTGTGGCTATTGGGGTGGGGATGGATATAAAGAATAAATAGTGGATGGCTGATCAAAGATAACTTTTGACTGAGATGGCAAACTGAAAGTTAGTGCAGTGAATTTGAAGTAAGCTGCTGCTAAAAGCATCAGTGGAATCCACGGTCTGAGTACCAGGGTCAGACAGGGCCTGAGGCGCCTTTCTCTGCCCTTTTTAAACCAACATCTGAAAGCTCCCGGTCCGTGTTGCTTTCTTATCTCCACTTGTGTCCCTGGTAAACCCCTGTGCTAAATGAAGGCACCAGAATAGCAACTTAAAGCTGTGTCACTAATGATGTGACAGAGCGAGGGCATTAGCCGCCTCAGATGTAGCCACGCTTTCTCCTCAGTGACTGATGAGCAGCCGAGTTGCCGTGTCAGTGCCCAGAGCACCAACAAAGCAGCCAAGCCTACCCGCTCCCCCCTCCCCGCCCACATTGCACCGCCAGCAGGGGGGCTGGAGTCATCATCTTTGACTAACGGCCTTCACAAGCCCCATTCCAGCTGATCTGAATGCATAACGTTCCCTCCCTGCCTCCCCTGGCTCCCGGTCCATGCATGGTTTACCACTAAAGAGTCCTTTTCAGGCACCTCATAATCGTTATCTGATAGTGAATAGAATAAATTGTAATTGCTTTTTTAAAGCACAATCAATTTGAGATAATGTACAAAGACATCGGGCAAAGAGAAGGCTGCAGCTGGATGCTGGAGAAGTCGATGCGTATTTATTTACTGAGGGAATCTAATTACTGGAGTCAGAACGTCGACACTGGCATTAGTACGAGTTAGAGGAAAAACAGCTTTAGCTGACTGAGCTTTACAGACGGGGGAAAAATAACAATTAATGTGCTAATGTTGTGTTATTAGCAGAAACGAACAGATGCATGTTGCAATTGTTTGCCTGGACAAGGGAGACATAGTGAATTCTGACATTGCCCATTTTTTTCTCAGAACAGCATGGTTTCCGTATCACTTTGATTTATTACCATCTGTAAGCTGTTACAAATGATTTATAAATGTGGTTTAAACGCATGAAATGCATTTTTCACTATCATACAGAAGGGCAAAGATAGATCAGTAAGGGCATGTCAAATACATTGAGGAGCAAGGTGAGCGACACGGCAAAAAATAACGTTTGTCAAAGTGACAGTATTCGACATATTGAGCTTATTGTGTCAAAGGTATGATGGAGTTGCTTTTAAAGCGAAGTAGAGAAAGGCAATAGGATGACTCAATGCAATGCAGTAATGATTGGTGTGTTTTGTCGGGATGTATAGGGATCATATAACAAAAGTGTCAGCTGTAAACAATTCTGGTGAATGGCTGCTTCATACCAATGCGGCGTCCTCCACACCAAGTCCTTGCTGTGTCTTTCTGCTACCATTGTACTCGGTCAATATGTCCTTTCTGTTTCCGTAGAGGCACATTTTAGTGGTGAGTTATGTTATGAATTTGTGAACGATGCCCAACATCTCTTTCCTTCTGAAAGTCAGTTTCATTTGCCATGAATCAATACCCACATCCTCTATCCATCTCGGCCCATTGATTACATATTAAGCCCTGCCATCTGCCTTACTCATAAGTAATCATAGCCAAGGTTAGGCCAATACACACTGTATATCTGTCGTGATTGTTATTGACACGTCTTCTGTCGCACATCTTGATCCCAGGGGCCTCCTCAGGCAGCACTGACCTTCTCCCTGCCCCCAGCACTGCCACCAACTGGACAGCTTCCCTGGTAACTGACAGCGGCAGGGACAGTGATTTGATCTTCAGGTTTGACGGTCGTCAGGCGGCTAAAATCCCTGACTGGGTTGTACCCCAGAATCTGACAGACCAGTTCACAATAGCAACTTGGATGAAGCACGGACCCAGTCCTGGGCTCAGAGCTGAGAAGGAGACACTACTCTGTAACTCCGACAAGACTGGTGAGTGACATTCATGGTCTATATTTAAATGATGGGTGACACAAACCAACATGCAGTCTCTAAGTATGGAGTCAGGCCTACCACGAGCCTCCAGAACAGCTTCAATTACTCCTTGCCAAGTCTGTGGAATCCTCCAGAAGATATTCCCACAGTTATATATACCATTATTTAATCAAGTAATATCATTGAGATCAAGATCTCTTTTGCAAAAGAGACCTGAGTACAGCAGAAAAACATAAAGGATCAGAGAAAGGCATATATGTCAGTAAAAAGATTTGAAGATGAATGTTTATGATTTGGTCTTATGGTGATGGTGGTTGAGAGCATAGTCTTAAATGTCATCCAAAGTCTTCCATAGGTGTGAAACTTGGTTGAGCTCCGGTAATCATAAAGGGTGCAGCATTTTGATTGATTTTCATACTCACCATCCCATTCAAGGAGCCCTGGGGCACAGAAGATTTCCTTTCAGTTGTCTGTATACTGTATATATATATGTATTTAAATTGCAATTAAGTCTGGTGATATTCTACATTTTTCTTTTTTCTTTTTTTCTACATTTTTCAACAAATCCTATTAAAAATCTAAAACTATGAATTGATTCTAACAGCTATTATATGTGTGGACAAATATATCTTCAATCTTTCTATCTCCATTGTCATTGGGCCATGTGGTTACCCTGGGTGACATGTTCCTTCAATATAATGAAGATGGGCGCTGCAGGCGCTGTAAATGCTCACTAGAACAGCAAATGTGTATTTATCCACAGCTAAAATAGTCCCAGACAATTGCACTGTTTACTCCTGTTTGAGTGAAATTTGTTAAAAAAATACAGTGGCCAACTGTTTAAGAAGAAATACTCACTTTTAATTATGAAACTATATATTTGCGAGTCATTTTTAAAGATTTACGTCTTCATTAGATACTGATACGCTTTGGGGCTCAGGACTATCACTGTGTTGGTTTTGGTCTCTCAATGGGATTTTCTGACAATACAAAAAGCGTAGCATAACACCACCCATATCCCTTATTATAATCGTCTCAAAGTGAAGTGTACTTGATTTGACCATGAGGGTTCAAATTAAAAATGTAAACGCTACAGTGGATCTGTCGATTCCAACCAAGCCTCTGATTTGTGATTGTGGTACAATTTGTCAGGAGGTCAATTGACTTCTCATTATAGCATAATGGTGATCATTTAGCTCTGTGTTATCAGCGCAACAAATTCAGTAACATTATAACGTAGCATTTGCACAAAGGGATGATTTTGTTGTTAAATATCCAGTGAAAAATAATGTGAAATGTTGTCCTCCTTCAAAGCAGTGCAGCTGTCCCAGTTTTTGTGAGGTTTCATAAAGCTAAATGTCCGGTTATCTGACAGTGAGTAGGTGTGATGATTTGGTCCCTGGTGCCTACTCTTCTTTCTCCCTCCCTCCCACAGAGATGAACCGTCATCACTACTCGCTGTATGTCCATAATTGCCGCCTGGTATTCCTGCTGAGGAGAGACTTCACCCAGGTGGACACCTTCAGACCAGCAGAGTTCCACTGGAAACTGGAGCAGGTAAGACACTGTGATACTCTGGAACATGTACGACAGACAGGAGAACTTGTATGACATATAAAACAAATGATCTCAGTTTATACCTCTACTCACCTTTGTGGATTTATTAAGTAGGTCATGAGCCAATCTCATAGACAGGGATGATTTTGGTTCCTGAAGACTCCTGGTAAGACTTTGGGGTTCATTTACAGTGTTGCATAAGGTTTACAAGGAAGAACCACTGGTCAGTCCACAGGGACCTCACTTACTGGTTGCCCATCAGACAGACAAAAAAGGCTTTACACATATCCAAGGTTTTGCGTGTATTTGTGTGTACATACAAGAGCATGTATGCATTTCTATTTTGTGCTTGGCTGCACTCAAAATCCTCCTACAAACCAAAACGAAGCCTAACCTTTAATTAATTAATTCATTAATTAACATTTGTTTTAAACTCTCATGCCACTCTACCTAAAAACCGTGCAGTTTTTTAATGGAGTTAGTGACTCCTCAATAGATATTTGCCACAGACTTTGTTGATGGTGTTTTATTATAGCTAGAGCTGTCTTTTTTACTTTCTCTGCCATGTCATTGCCTGACATGTCATATTTATATTTCTGCAAAGAATCAAATATTTCCAGAGAGAGAGAGAGAACAGTGTGTTACCTGCATTGGGAATTACCAGTACTGGGGATAATTGCAAACATGATTTGGGGAGGCTTTTTTGTTTTAACAGAAATGTTAGTATAAGTAGGGCACAACTGGAATTCTTTTAGGTGTGTGTGTGTGTGTGTGTGTGTGTGTGTGTGTGTGTGTGTGTAAATGGCAGCTGTCTGTTGATCAAGGATGCTGTGTTAAAGTCAGACAGGTCACCTCGACTCACAAGACCCCTCACTCACCCAGCAAGGACATTTGATTCAGGGAAGAGACACACAGCTGAGCCTGGACATCCAGATGCAGCACCCAGAGCTAATTTGATCAGACAGATCACTGGTCTTGATTGGAGGGAGAGCATGACAGAGGTCGTCCATCTGCCTCCTGACGGCACATGGCGTGTGTGAGCCATCGTCTGGAGGAATTTAGACACACGGTTCCCACAGAGTATCAGTCACTGCTTCTCATCCAGTGCACATTTTCTCTGGTGCTTACGTGTTACATTTTTTAAACAATGTTAACATTCTGAAGATCCAAATAATCTGTGAATGTGTAAAAAGTGAGGGGGGGGGGGGGGGGGGGGTTACAGACAATGTGAGAAAATGTTGTCCATGGTGGGAATTTTACACACTGATTCCATCCATCCATCGTCAACCGCTTATCCTGCGTACAGGGTCGCGGGGGGGCTGGAGCCAATCCCAGCTGGCATCGGGCGAAAGGCGGGGTACACCGTGAACAGGTCACCAGTACACTGATTCCTGAATTTTTTTAAATTAAGACAATCTTTTTGGCCAATACAGCTTGAGTGCTTGAATTTATTGGCCTGGTTTGCGAACTGTAAAACTGAAGGTAAAAATTTGTTTTATTTTATTTTAAGTGAAAATAAAGGAATCAGTTTTTCTCTAAACCTCTGTCTCTGGCAATATAGGGAAGGTGTTTAAATCTACATTTGGGGGATCAATATTTACAGAAAATAGTTGACTGAATAATTATAATAATAACCCTCCCTGTCAGCTAGGATTGGCACCCAGCTACCTTCTAAGGATAAGCAGTTATAGATAATGGATGGATGAATAATTTCATATATTGTAAATTATTGTAAAAAATGTTTAGAGACCTTCATTTTGGTGTCTGTTCTTTTGAGAGAGAAGTTTTTTAAGGGAGGGTAAGGGGTACGTTTGGGGAACTTGGACTCATGACCTCAGTATTTCTAAAAAGCCTGGATACAACCCTGTAAGCATTTGGCTTTTTCTTAGCTGTACTAGCGGTGTGGCTTGATTTACGGCAGTGCTGGTCAGTTCGCTGGTCTACCAATTTGGTCCAGAATAAAAATATCTATTTAACTACTGGATGGATTGCTATAGATTTTTTTACAGACATTCATGGTTTACACAGGGTGAATCCAGATGAACTGCTGTTCCACATAAATTAAGTTGGTAGATTAGGATGGATTTTGATCAGGATTTGTTTTTCTCGTACATATAACTTTCACATGGCTACACAATAGTTGTTAAGCTGTAGAGTTTTCTGAACACTTTTTGAATCTCCTTCTCTTTCTTATTCGCTCTCTCTCATTTTCCTCCCTCTTATTAATAGTTGTCTCTGAAACCATGGGGCATGAAAGGAAACTTTCATTAAGTCGCTATCTCCCCTTGCCTTCTCGCCACTTTCTCCTCATCTGCTAATGTCTTTTAAACAAAATGACTGAATACCTCCAACCTAGAAAACCTCCTCTCCCTGCATTGGTTTATCACAGACGTCCAATTAATTTCTCATACAATCCAATCAGGCATTGCGAGTCGCTACATAATGACTGGAACGAGGGGGGAAGATGGTTGCACATATTAGTTTACCTACTAGAAAAAAATGAGTTAATAACAGAACCAGAGTAGTTTAAGGCACCACAGCTTTATGCGTACAGGCCCATTGTGTTCGGTGTGATTTAGTATTTTAAGCTTTGCTATCTATGCAGTGTGCATTGTTGAGAGAGATGGGCTGAGGTTTTTATTGACTTGAAGAGATTTGTATTGAGCTTGTATTGAACATCTCTTTTGTGCATGGTTTCATATTCTTAAAATTCAGACTTACATTCAGGCATCTCTAAGAACGAGACTGTCAATCTTGAAGTTGTTTTCTGCATGGGCCAGTATTGAATGAGACCCTGCATGGGTTATAGCTACTGTATGTAGAAAATTGGATTGAGTCTGCACGGTCTAAAAAAAATAGCCTTTGGCAAACACAGGTGTCCAGGAAATTCACTAGCTGAAAATGTGACTTGCACCCACACTGGGACTTTAGTTCTTCAACAGTGTATTAACAGCAAGCGAGACCTTCTCCTATTGAACCTATTGATCTAGATAAATAAAACTCATTTGATTTGAGTCAAGCTATGACTTTTTTGTTTTATTTGTTTTTAAAAAATGGTAAATTAAATTGTTGGTTGATGGAATTTTACAGACGTGATCATCCTCATTGTAAAATAAAAATGAGGATGATCATCTGAATTTTGATCAATCTAACTTGCGCACTACAGAGCCCCCGAAGGACTACACAGGACTATTTTTGTGTTCCCTCACAATATATTTTGCGTTCTCTCGCAATACTTTTGCATTACCTCACAGTACTTTTGCATTCCCTTGCAAAATGTTTTGCATAACCGTGTAATACTTTTGCATTCCCATGCAATACTTCTTCCATTCCTTCTGAGCGATAGCTGTGTCTATTTCCCTCATCTTCTCCTTGCTCAACGCCCCACTGTATAGATCAGGTTATTGAATTTTACTTTGAACCGGGCATTATCTATGCTGATAAAGTACTACTGCTCAATAGGCATGGTTATGTAATTAATCAAACCAGACCAGGTTCCACAGCCGGTGCTGTGATCACCCCCCAAAGGAGAGAAAAGAGAGTCAGAATAGGAGCCATGCTGGCCTAGCTTGGACTTAAGGCTGGACGAAATGGGAAATCGGAGACTGTTATGCCCACATCGTTACAGAGACCTGCCCCATCAACCCGGGCAGACCGTGTTTCAAGCTGTCAGAGCGAGAGACTCCAGCAAGATGTGAGGAGGCGGACTCTGTGTTTACATTGATGATGCTTGGTGCTCAACCGCAGTCAAAGTGAATGGACACTGTTTCTCAAATGTCAGACTTGTTATGTAGCTACATCTCTCACATTAGGCTCCACTGTCCACTCTTATTAGGCTACTCCCACTACTGTTATGTAGGCCTACATCCAATGCTACTATTATTAAAGTAGATAGTATTTCAAATAATGGTTGCATTACATATTTTATGCTCACTCTGCCTTACAGTAACAGATCAGCTCTGTCTTGTCTAAAAGTTACTGTGTTGTATAGTGTCTTGTCTGGTAAGTTGAATTATTGTGACTTTGTTTTTAGCACCTTGGACCTTGAGAAACGGCATCTAGTTCATTTGTATACTCGCTGTGTGGATGAATGACAATAAATGAACTTAAACTTAGTCAATGTCAGTCCATTGCTTACTGTCTTGCGTTAGTCCAGAGTTATAACCTTGATTGAGAGACAAGAACACAAGACACAGACAGAGATCCAATGCAAGCTAGATTAGCATGACAGACTAGAGAGAATAGGGTCTTGTGAGAAGTGCTTAATAATGTAATGGTTCTGTCCGAGAAGAAAATCACTGTACACTAAAGAGTAAAATGTTGAAGTACCGGTGAGTACCGGCCCACTTCGAGCACTGTTTAAGTTTACTTTCACTAATTACATAACCATGCCTAGGGCTGTACTATATCAGTAGTATAGGTAATGCCCAGTTCAAAGTAAAATTCAGTGAACTGATCCATCACCAAAAGGGTTATGTCTGTGTTTACTTTTTTGTGTGGACTTTTTGTGAGACTAGTGTAAAATGTTTATTAGGGAAACATTAAGAGACGCACCCCACATTCACAAACAGCTGTGGGTTGTTTTGGCTGTGATCCTTTTCCTAATTCTCTATAATTGAGGCCACAATGAGAAAAAGGCCCTTACAAGCACTAGATGAGGTCTAGTAATTGCCACCAGTGAGTAAGTTTTACAACACCCTAAAGGCTGTGACCCAATGAGACCACCGTTAACAATCATTTGCTTTGGCAGATTGACCATCTTCTGGGTTGGTTATGTTCCACATTTTGAGTGCAGTGGTTCATGAAATGCTGACGGGATACATACTTGGCTCATTAGGACCATAAAAGACAGAAATGCTGTTTGAGGCTGGCGAATACTAGTTTTTTTGTGGTTTTGCATTGCTTCCATGTTTCCGGAGTTTTATAATGTGTCCCAGTCCCACGTAGTGAGATAAATGGAAATGCTCTGTGTACAGTTAGAACAAAGCCTGCATTGTGTT